CTCCTGTTTCCCCCAAAATTTACACCTATCTCATTGTACAAAATGTATTTAGTCCATTTATAAGAGGTCTTACCAATTGCTGAGTTCCTGAAAAGTCCAATTTCAAAATCTGTGAGACTAGAGGAAAATTCTTAGGTGTAGATCTCTATAAAAATTTCAGAATATGTTACTCAATTCCAACATACAATGGCATGGGATAAACATTTTTATTCCAAAAGGACTGAATAGAAGAATAAAAAGAATTCAGACTAAAGCAAGACCGAAAAGCACCAGGGGAGTACTAGGCTACAGGTAACTTCATTTCCAATACCTGGGGTAAGTTGTGGTGAGACGTGAGCTCCAAGAGGTTTGTGTGGCCTTACCTTATGACTTTCCTGACTGTAACTCACATGGCTCCTGTTACCACTGGTGGCTTTCCACAGTAGATATTCCATACTGGAAAAATAAAGATACATTTTCTAATAGAGTATGACATAGATGACCTCTAACATAACTGCCAGTGGAGCCCGTGTTCCCAGCCGAAAGTTCCTGGGCCTCTCCTTTACAGTCCACATTCCTATCAGCATTTTGGTCTCTGATCTCTGGTCAGAATCTCTCAGTGAGCTTACCTTACAACATTCTAGAACTTTCTCCACCTTTCAACTCCTCCTATGAACCATCACCAAAGGTATCTGAACCACATGGTCAGATCACAGTATGAGAACCTCATTTTCTCTGACACAAAACCTTCCTTAGATAGTTTTTGTTACTGGGACAAAATATCTGACTTTCATAACTTTTAAAGGATGAAAGATTTATTTTGGCTCATGTTTATAGCCCATGGTTGTCTGGCTCCAAAGCAGAAACAAGATGTTAGGGTGGATTGGAGGAGAAAAACTTGCTTAACTCATGGCAACCAGGAAGCAGAGAGAAAAAGAAGTAGTCAAAGACTAAAATACACCCTTCCAAGTCACACCAATGGTACCTCGACCGTCTGACTAGGCCTCACCTCAGAATGTGAGACTTTGAAGAGACATTTTCAGTCATTTTCAGTATAACATAAATACATACATTTGTATCTTATAAAGACATGAGTTAGTGCCATATGTTCACTCACCTTTCATAAAACACCTTTCTATGAAGTGTGGTCACAAAACAGTGAATGTTTAAACTAAAAATTAAAAAATACTAGTGCAAAGCATGCATTTCCATTAATTGCCTCATAGTACTCCCCTCGCTTTAAACATACTTATTCTACTGTGCTTAAGACTTTCTGAATCTGTTCTGGAAGTCGTATTTCCTTAGGGTTTTTTTGTGGTTGTCTCAATATTATGCATCAAAGAAATTACAGCAATTTCTTTCAAACAAAAACATTAGTGAGTGTGTCTTCATCCACTTCACCCAGTGGATCTTGCACTGTGACGTTTAGCTCTAACCTGAATCAAAATTCCCGGGAAAGTTAAAGTTTTGAATCATTTCAGGACATCAAGGTAGCCAGGACAGTGCAATTAAAGACACACTTAAAGTTCCTGTAAGTACTTCCAAAAGTGGCAAGAAAAATGAAATAAATCTGTTTAAAATGAAGGAAAGATTTTTGAGAGAAATTAAAAGCAATCTGAATTTTAATACAACAAATCTTTTAAAATTTAAATATTCATCATATTTTTGAGCACACCTCCTCTTATTACTATTTTTAAAGCTATTTAAAAAACACATGACATGTCATCAAAAGCATGACTTATTTTGAAAAATCAGTAGGTTGATATTCATCAGATTTAAAAATTTTGACTCAAAAATTACCCTGATAAGAGGATAAAGTCAAGACTTCCACTAGAAAAAAATTATTTATAAGTCACATATGTGACAAAGGATTTGGTTTTAGAGTTTAATAAGAATCGTATAAGCTCAACAATATGAAAAGGAATAATCAAATTAAAAAACAGGAAAAATGTGAAAATTTCACTACAGAGGTCAAGACATTAAAAAAGATGTCCACCAGCAATAGGCATTAGCCAAAGCTCTGATAAGACACAATCACATACTCATTAGGATGACTACAATTGAAAAAGATTATTGTAACCACCAGTAATCACAGGAACATAGATCACTTGGTTTCTCCTGCATTGTTAGAAAAATAGTACAACAAAATGGCATAGTAAAATGAAATGGTGTGGCCACTCTACCAAAGAGTTTTGACAGTTTCTTGTAAAGTTAAAACTATCATTTGACCCAACAATCATTTTGTTTTCATGGCTATCTAACATGGAGTCATAAAAATGTGTGTTCACACAAAACCTGTACATAAGTATTCATATCAGCTTTATTTATATTAGCCAAAAATGAATAAATAAGATAAATAGTTGAATGGACAATGTATATTGACTAGAGTATAAATTAGTAATAAATATTAGAACGGACTATTGATGTTCACAATGCTTGAATGATTCTTATAATGGCTGGTTTTTCTGTGTTTCTTTAAATTTTATTTCAAAGAGATTAAGACAAAAGAGAATAGAACAAAGAAGATCAGGACAGAACTATGTAACCAACACAATACTTTACCACAAGTCAACCCGATATTAACAGTAGCTATCATAATGTCTGTCTTTGAAACAGATGAGTATATCTTCATATACAATAATATCATACATGACAAAATAATATAAAACCGTTCAAGAGAATGAAAGTATTATAGGGCATAGAGAGCCAAATAACAGAAAATGAACAATGGCTACTATATTATCTCATCTTCCATATAAAATTTATTTAAACTATTACACATATTGAAATCCAATAAGACACAATATGATAGAACCAATGGAAATAGAAGGACAAAAGCATGGTAGGACTTCAAAGCAAGATGATTTTAAACCAGCTGCCATATGTCTTATTTTCTTCAAAATAGCTACTCATACCATCACACATGGTAAAACCAAACAAAACAGAATAAAACCATTCCAACTAATGAATGAAAACATTATAAGGCTTCAAAGCAATGTAATAGGGAATCATGATTACTATAAAAAACTTACGTTCTCTTTCAATTACTTACACTAGGGAGACTATAAGGTATTTATACATGTGAGTTTATTTTACTTATGAGTATGGTCTCAAGTTGCATCCATTTATTTATATATGTATATTTCAATGTGATCATTCTTTATAGCCAAGTAGTAATCCATTATATAAAAATGCCACAAGTTTTTTTATCCATTTCTCAGTTGATGGACACTTAGGTTGTTTCCAAGATCTGGCTATTACAAATTATGCTGCTATAAACATGGGTGCACATATATCACTGTGGTATGATGTTTTCAGTTCTTCTGGGAATATGCCTAGAAGTGGAATACCTGGAACAAATGGGACTTCCAATCCCAGCTTTTTGAGGAATCTCCATACTAACCTCCACAGTGGTTGCACCAGTCTACACTTCCACCAACAGTACCGAAAAGTTCCTTTTTCCCCACAGCCTCTCCAGCATTTGTTTTTGGTAGTTTTCTTGATCTTGGCCATTGTTTCTGAAGTAAAATGGGACCTCAGTGCTGTTTTAATTTAATTTGCATTTCTCTATGACTAATGATGATGAGCATTCTTTCATGTGTTTACTTGCCATTTGTATTTCTTTATCTGAGAACTGTCTATTCATCTCAGATGCTCAGTTTTGGATTGGGTCTTTAAATTTAGGAGGTCTGATTCTAGACAGAATTCCTTTGCCAGAGGGAGAGTTCACTAAGATTTTTTTTTTTCAGTTTGTGGGTTTTCTTTTCACTATGCTGGAGATTTCTTTTCATATGCAGAAACTTTTTAATAAGATGTGATCCCAGTTATTGATTCTGGGAAGTATTTCCTGTGCGGTTTGAGTCCTGTTCATGAACTAATCTCTATCTATCCTTTGTCTTCAAGATTTTTACTTAATTTGTCTTCCAACAGATTTAGTGTTTCCGTTTTAATATTTAGATCTTTGATCCATTTAGATTTTAGTTTAGTAGATGGTGATAGGCATGGGTCCATTTTTAGTTTTCTGCCTATGGAGAGCCAGTTTTTCCAGCACTATTTTAAAGAGACTATCATTCTTCCAGTGAACATGTTTGGCCCCTTTATCAAAGATAAGGTGGTTGAGTGTGCTTGTAGTTGTGACTGTATCTTCTAATCTATTCCACTGATCTTCAGATCTGTTTTTATTCCAATACCATTTTGATTTTATTATAGTAGCTTTGTAGCGTAACTTCAAGTCAGGGATCGTGATGCCTCCTGCCTTGCCTTTGCTGCTTAGAATTGCCTTTGCTATTCTAGGTCTCTCCTGGTTCCAGATGAATTTTAGGAGTGATTTCTCTAGATCTATAAGGTATGTTGATGGTATTTTTATTGGGATTGCATTGAATCTGTATAACAGTTTTGGGAGAATGGCTATTTTCACAATGTTTATTCTTTCTATCCATGAACAAGGGATGTTTTTCCATTTTATGGTAGATCACATTTAGTGATTTACGTATGTTGAACCATCCCTGCATGCTTGGGATGAATCCCACTTGGTTGTGGTATGTAATCTTCTTGGTGATTTGCTGCATTCTGTTTGCCAATATTTTATTGACAATTTTTGCATGTATACTCATTAGAGATATTGGCCTGTAGTTCTCTTTTTTAGTTGGATTTTTCTCAGGTTTTTGCGTTAAAGTAATATTTGCTTCCAGGAATGACTTAGGAAGAATTGCTTCCCTTTCCATTTTATTAAAGACTTCGAGAAGTGTCAGCGTTAAGTTTTCTTTGTATTTCTTGTAGAATTCCGCAGTGAATCTGTTTGGGCCTGGGCTCTTCTTTGTTTGTTAAGGATTTAATTACATTTTCATTTTGTGAATAGAAAGTGAGCTATTCAGCAATTTTACATCTTCTTGACGTAGCTTTGGTACTTCTTTCTAGGAATATGTCCATTTCTTCTGTGTTATCAAACTTACAAGATTAGAGGTTTTTGAAACAGGTGTTGGTGATTTTATGTTTTCCACAGAGTCTGTAGTGATTTCATCTTTTTCGTTCCTTATTGCATGAATTTGAGATTTTTCTTTCCTTTTTAAAATAAGATTGGCTATGGGCTTATCAATTTTATTTATTCTTTCAAAGAACCAACTCTTTGATTGATTCTTTGAATTGTTTTCTTAGTCTCTATTGCATTAATTTCTGCTCTGATCTTTGTAATTTCCTCCCATATTTTGGTTTTGGACTTGACTTTCTCTTCTTTTTCTAGATGTTTAAGGTTTAACATCAGGTTATTTCTGTTTATTTTGTTTTCCTCGTGTGAACTCAGTGCAATAAATTTTCCTCTGAGGACTACTTTCATTGAATGCCATAGATTCTGCTAAGTTGTAATTGTATTTTTGTTTGCTTTTTAAATTTCTTCTTTAATTTCCTCTGTGACCCACTGATTGCTTGAGTCTATTATTCAATTTCCATGTGTTTGTGGGATTTTTTTCAATTTCTTTTATTATTATTTCCTAGTTTCATGGTGCTATGATCTGATAACATGCATGGGATAATTTCAATTCTTTGTTATTTGTTTAAATATGTTTTGTGGGTTAGTATATGGTCTACTTTAGAGAATGTCCCATGTACTGCTGAGAAGAATGTATATTCTGATGTTGCTGGATGGAATACTCTGTATATGTCTATTGAGTTCATTTGTTGACAGGTGTGAGTTAGTTCTGTTATTTATTTGCTGATTTTCTGTCTGGTTGATCTGTTCCTTGGTGTCAGTGGTGTGCTAAGGTTTCCCGTTATAATTGTGTTACTGATTACTTGATTTTTCATTTCTGTTAATACTTGCTTTATATAGCTGGGTGCTCTGGAATTTGATGCATATATATTTAAGATTGTTATCTCTTCCTCTTGAAGTTTTCCCCTAACTAGTATGTAGTGACCTTCTTTATCTCTTCAGATCATTGTTGGTTTGAAGTTCACATTGTCTGCAAACAGAACAGCTACCCCTACATTTTTGGGGGTTTCTGTTTCATGAAATATTGTTTTCCACCCTTTGATGTTCAGTCGCTCAGTTTCCTTTTGGGTTAGATGGGTTTCTTATAGACAGCATATGGTTTGATCTTGTTTCTTGATCCATTCTGTCAGTCTTTTATTCTTTTAACTGGTGAATTGAGACCATTTACATTAATGGTTGTAACTGTTAGATATTGGTTTATTGTTGACATTATCTTTGTGCTGTTATATCTTTACCTTTCCATTCTGTTTCTCTGCCTTGCTTAGTGGTTTTTTCCTATGTGTGTCTAGAATGTCTTTCAGCATTGTTTGCAGGGTTGGTTTGGTGATCATGAAGTTCTTCAGCTGTTCTTTGTCATGGAAGTATTTTATTTCTCCATAGATGTTGAAGGATAGTTTTGTAGGGTACATCAGTCTGGTTTGGAAGTTGTTTTCCTTTAGGATCTGAAATACTTCACTCCATGCATTTCTTGACTTTATTGTTTGTGGTGACAATTTTGCTGTGTTTCTGATAGTTTTTCCTTGAGAAGTGATCTGTATTTTCTCTCTGATAGCTTTTAATATTCTATTTTTATGTTGGATTTCTGGGATGATGATTATTATACGTCTGGGTGTAGTTTTATTTTGGTTATGGCTATTTAGGGTTCTATATGCTTCACTAATCCATATGTCAGTTTCCATTGTCATGTTGGGAAATCTTCAGCTATTATTTCTGCAAATAGCCTCTTTATATCATTTGTGTTGTCTCCTTTTTCATTTATCCCTATTGATCTTACATTGTTTTTCTTTGCATCATCTTGCAACTGTTGAATTGTTATTTCCTGATTCCTTGTTACTTTTAAAAGATCTTTCCTTTCCTGTTCACTAGCTGCAATGTTGTCTTTGAGGTCTGAAATTCTATCTTCACTTTCCTTGAGGTGGTTTTTACAACTTTCAATGAAATTTTTGATTTCCTATGTATCTCTTTGAATCTGCTTCATGCATTCTGTTTGTTTCTTATATTGTTCATCCAGGGATTCTATCTTTTTGCAGTGTTCCTCTAGTTTTTTAACTGTGTCTTCTTTAGATGTGTTCAGCATTTTTTCATTACTTTTATCATGACTTCTATTATCTCAGAGATTATTTCTAATTTGAGTTCCTTTATATCTTTCTGGAGTTGCTTCTTTATTTCAGTTGCTATCATTTAAGGCATTTCAGGTTTATGGCTTATATTTTCTTCTATGTACATGGCTCCTAGGGTTTCTTGGGATGGGTTGGAGGTTTGAGATTGCATTTTGGTCTTTTGTCTTGTCATTTTCCTATATTTTTGTGTTTCAAGTGATGTTCCAAAGCTTTTCCTGGGCATATTGGAAGTTGCCTCCTATGCCCTCTGCTCCTGGCACTGAATGAATGGAGGTTGCTAAGCATGGTCCAGCTGGCTGTTTTTTTTTTTTTTTTTTAAGATAATTTCAAAAGGTAGCCATATATATATATATATATAATCATTTTCCAAGTAAGTAAATTATAAATTATAGTGACAAGAACCCCCTCAGTGCTCAGTGAATGCTAGGGATTAGCCTTATAACTGATAATATAAGAATTTCTTTGTCTGAAGTTCATAGGAATAGATTAGACGATATAACCACAACTACAAACACAGTCAACCACTTATCTTTGGCCTAACACATTCAGTGGAAGAAAGATAACATCTTTAGTAAGTGCTGGGAAAATTGGCTCTCCATATGCCAAAAACTAAAACTAGACCCATGCCTATCACCATGCACTAAACTAATGTCAAAATGGATCAAATATCTAAATGTTAAAACAGAAACAATAAATCTGCAGGAGGACAAAGTATGTAGAAATCTTGAAGATGTAGGTATAGGTAGAGAATTCATGAACAAAAGTCAAACTGCATGGGACATACTTCCCAGAATCAACAACTGGGAACTCATCTTATAAAAAGTTTTTGCATGTCAAAAGTAATCTCCAACAGAGTGAAAAGAAAATCCATGAATTGGGAAAAAAAATCTTAGTCAACTATCCCTCAGACGAAGTATTTCTACCTAGAACATATAAAGATTTAAGAATATCAGGTCCCTGATATTCAAGGCCCAATCCAAAAATGGGCATCTGAGATGAATACACACTTCTCAGCTGAAGAAATATAAATGGTAAACATACATGAAAAAAATGTTCAACATTATTGGTCATTACAGAAGTGCAAATTAACACAACACTGAGACTCCATCTCCAGAAAAAATAGCTAGGATCAAGAAAGCCACCAATAACAAATTCTGGAGAGGCTATGGGGGGAAAGGAACACTCCGGTACTGTTAGTAGGAGTATAGAATGGTGCAACCACTGTGAAAATTAGTGTAGATGTTCCTCAAAAATCTAGGATTGGAAGTTCCATTTGATCCATCTATTCCATTTCTGGGTATATACCCAGAAGAACTGAAAACATCATACCATAGTGATATATATGCACCTATGTTAATAGTAGCACAATTTGTAATAGCTAACTCTTGAAAACAACCCAAATGCCCGTCAACTGAGGAATGGATAAAAAAAGTGATGTTTTTCTGCAGTGCAATATTACCTATAAAGAAAGACAACATTGAGATAAATGCAAGCGACTTAAGACCATACTCATAAGTGAAATAAATCAAACTTACATGTATAAATACCTATTGTCTCCCTAGTGTAAGAAACTGAAAAGGTAAATAAGATATAAAATTTTCAATAAATGTTATGAAAGGTTAAGTAACTGCTAAAAGAAGAAAAAATAACTCAGACAAGCAAATCGAGAAAAGGAGAAAGAGAACATATAAATTTGTATATATACACTTAAGATTACTAAGATGATTGTACTACTAGTTCTATTAGTTCTTGAAAATTAGTTCTTGAAATAAAAGTTAATGTCTGTAGGAATTAGAACAGTTTTTCGTGACTGGTATCTGGTAATTCGAGTGAGACTTTAGAAGATAACTATGCAAAACAACAAAATTTATTATGTTCCTACCTCCTTGTTTTGAAAGCCTACAATGTTATTGTTTTGGGCTGTTAGTTTCAGTTATTTATTTGTTGTTTTGGTTTTTCCTTTAATACAGAAAGAATAGGTGCACACAGATAGGCTTATATATGCTTAGAACTATACCTAAAAGGTTTATAAGAATTGATTTCATTATGTGTGATAACATGAACAACTACACTGAAGAAAACAAGACATCATGGTAGCCATTGATGATTTCCTACAATTTTGTTTTGAAGTCCAATAATGCTTTTATTCTTGGTTTTGATTGGTTTTAGTCTGTTTTCAATTATTTGATTTCAATATGTGTGAAGCTATGGACAGCTATTTTGAAGAAAAAAAGAGACATTAATATACCCATTACTGATTTCTTAATGTCTGGTCTTGAAAGCCCTTAAGACTCTCATTCTTTTGTTCTGATTGCTTTTATACTGTTTCTATTTGTATTAACATTTTATGTGTGAAGGTATGGACAACTATTTCAAAGAAAATAAGAGACATTATGGTAGCCACTGTTGATTTCCTGCTGTATTTTTCTAAAATCCTGTGTTATTTGCACTGTTCTACTCTGCTCTGCTTTGTTTTGTTTTATTATCTTTTTTTAAAAAGGAGTTAGAAATAAGCAAAACAAAGAATTTCTTTCTCTTGATTGAATACTTCTAAAGCCTGGCTATGTAATGATTATTTAAATCAATAAATATAAAAGTATGTCATAAAACTACATACAGAAGAATGGATACAAACTGATAATTTTCAAATAAAGTCTCCATCAAATTTAATAATATTATATCAAAGGCTAACCTACTGTTTATAGCATGTATTGCATCTCGGTAAGATACCACACTCATATTTTCCAGTGGCATGGACACATACACAGATGAAATCCATTTAAACTCGGGATTACAGTAATGCCAACTTCTTGGATTCCATATCATATTTTTTGGATGCCAGATGTTAGCACTGGGGGAAACTGAAAAAAGAGTACATGAGAACCTCTCTGTAACGTTGTAAAACTTCTTCTAAATCTATAATTATTCCAAACTAAAAGATATAAAGATACTGTTCTCATAATCCTGTGGTGAATAATCCTGATTTAGGACATGTGTGGTGAAGCATCTGCATGGAAAGAGCTTAGGAATTATCATTTCCCCTTTTTGAACAAGAATGAGCTGGTTAAACTTAAAAGCAATGGCTTTTCTTTGACCAGAGGATTGAGGAAACCACTACCTTGATATCTGGAAAAACAGGCACAACCAGAGAGGGACAGCTGAGATTCGCTTACCTGGAACAAAGCCACCAGAGATCAATCTGGTAGAAGCTGAGAAATGTTCACTTTCATTAGCAAAGGCTGGGGATAGAGAAGTGTAAGAGTGAGACACTGTCAGACACCACAGTACGAAAAGGACTCCACTTTGTAATTTTTGCTTCTAGGAACCTCCAGAGGTTTTCACAGTGAAAATTTAGGACAGATAATTCCGTGGGGGGAAGGAGAACAATGATTTTAAAATACTCCTGGAAACTTCTCCAGAATAAAGACTGCCATAGCTTCTTGCTACTGAGAGGAAGAACATTCTTAACATCTGCCCTTTCCTCGCCTCCCTGACTCATTCTAGGAGAAAAGGGAACAGAGGCAACAGGAAACAAGGCTTCAGAAAAAACACCCAAGGAGAATCCAGTTGGTTTATTTCCATTGGTTCATGTTTTACCAGTGATCATTTCAGAGAGTTGTTTATTTGCTTGCACATAATGAGGTAAATCGTCCTTACGCCTTCCATTTTTCTCTTCCTCTGTTCCCTTAATTCTTTTAACTAAGGCTCAAGGGCTTGGTGTTGATCATTTTTATTCTTTGATGAGTTTTTAACTGTTGGAGTAGGTTGATATTTAGACTTGATTTGTGCAGCTGCTGTATAAAAGTGTTTGTTTTGCTTTGATTCATTCTGGTTTTACTAAAATTTCTGCACTGAAATCATGCTCTCAGGATGGAAGTGGCCTGTCTCACAGACTTCAGATTTTTAATGAAAAAGGCCATGTTGGTGTTAGACCACTGATGTTAAAAGTGCTGGATTTTGTGTGTCAGTATATGTATTATTTCTCATTTGCACTAAGGCTTTCTTTCTCCAAAGCCATGCTTTGTCCAAAGAACACCCCTGTCTTTTAAATAGTCCAAGAAAAACTGATAAAAGTTAGCAGCTTTCTGGTTTACTTTTTGCCCAAGGCATGTGACTCCACAGGAGAGGTACATGTGTGTTCTTCTGGCTTCTCTATGTATCTCATGTGTGTGTGTGTGTGTGTGTGTGTGTGTGTGTGTGTGTGTGGTGTTGGATGCATAGTCCAATTTTCCTAATAAGAATTCCCACCATTCTATAGTTTACTAGAGGAGTAGCGTTAGTTAAGAATGGAAAATTATCTCAACTTTCCTACTTCTCCAACCTCACAGCCTCCAAGTACAGCAGAAAACTGTACTTTTTCATTCTCTTGACATTGGCCTTGCCCGTGGGATTTGCTTTGGCTGAGGAACACGATCTCCTATGACTTGAGAAGAGGCTTTCAAAGTGCTTGTGATGTTGTTCTTTTCCAGTTTTCCCATCTGCCAGAAGAAGCCTAGGTTGTGTGTACCTCTTCTGCTTCAGCCTGGGTCTTCGAATGACTGACAGGAGGAGCAGACACAAATGTGAGCCCAGCCCAGACACCTGCAGCAACAAACACGAGCAACAAACAATTTTTGTCTTTGTGTGTAACTGAGATTTGGGAATTGTCTATTATGCAGAATTTAACCCTAGTAAGGAAGCTATCTTCTTTAAACATAATTCATATTACTCTGTTGTATTTATGACATGTGAAGCCTTTTTCAAAATGATATTGAAACCCTTCATTCCTGATTCTTCTCCTGGTCATATGTGTATAGTAGCCTAACAGCTCTCACTGTTTTTCCGGCTCACCTCCATGCCAGACAAATAAGCAAACAATCACAACTTTTTATTTATCCCTTTTTTTGCATCTATTTGTCACAAGACCTGGACTAGCAAAGTCTCTTATCCCTTCATTGCTCTACACTTACAGTATCTATAGTTAATATTTTATACCACATGTATTAGTAGTTAGAAGTTTTGTCAGCAGATGTATTTTTCAAGTGTACAAAATTTCAAGGGTACAAAAGGAAATGTCCTTGCCTGCTCTGCATGGGTCTCTCCTCTCGCTCTCTTGAGGCATAAGCAGGGATATTTTCTGAAAAAGCAATGATATATTCTTTAATGCAAACTGGCATCATCATAAGAAAAAAAGCCCAGCTTTAGGAAACAGAGCTTGTTTATACAACTCTGTGTAAGAGTGTACTCTAGATGGTCCCGAAACAGGACAGGTAAGATGAGCCAACGATTTCAAAATTTCATTATAAAGTTTAAATACATTGAAACTTGGTAGCCCCGTGGCCCCTGAATTAGCTCACGAAGTGACTGGGTTAATAGGACACAGTTTGATCTCTGCAATTATGCAGCTTTGCTTTATTTCCCTAAGGTCTGAGGGATCTAGAAGTTAGAAACAGATTTTAAATAGAGCAAGTATGTGTACATATAGAGGGTGTGTGTGTGTGTATGTGATATATGCGTGTTGTGGATCTGTGACTTTCATGGCAGTCATATAATGTGTTGCTCAATAATTGTGTCTTGTACATTTAATTCTGAACACTGTACCCGACCTCACATGCACAGAGACAATGTAACAACACTGTCCTTGAAGCATAAATACTTATGGAAAATGGCTGAGGGCTGAAGCCACTTTTCATTTGAGATTCACTGGGAGATCTGTGCCCACAGGACCCGTGGGGATCCTTTTTAGTAACGTATGTTCAAAGCAACCTGAAAACTGAACACCTGGCCCAGGTGGAAGTGAGATGGAAGGAACATACCACTTCCAAATAAACAAATGACCTCAAACACTCCTGAAATTCTCTGAGGGCAAGTGAACCCACATCATTCACATGTCAGCACTTTGGTACCTACATACTAGGAAATCCCACGGATGAGAGGCCCTGGGTCTTCCTGCAGACTATTCTCACAGGCACATCTCATCCACTGGAAGGTCTGATAGTTGGCCACTCATCAATACTACTGCAGACAAAAAAGTCCACTGAAAAATAGTTTACCAATGGTGGTTTCTGTATCGAAATAACATTAGTTGAGAAGGTAGATGATGTTTGGAAAAGACAGTATTTGGAGTTAAATGACTTATTAAAAGCAATGAACTCATTAAGGCAAGTCTTTGCACCAACACCAAAACCTTCAATACTTGCTTTACTCAATAAGAGGAACAGCCCTTTGGGTAGAATTCAATTTTGCATTCCTTGCTTTACAAATGGAAAGAGCTTTGATTCTCATTTATTTTGTAATGTCTGGCATGTGAACCTTTATCTGGCTCAAGTAGTTCTGATGAAATGCAGGACAATGACACCTTGAAAGGTGGTGACAGTATATCCACTTGAAAAGTAATTGCTCCTGGCTTCACGCACAGTAACTTCAAGATGGAAAATACATTCAGAATAGCAAATGCCAAAAATGCTTCTAATCCAACTTGAATAGATTCTTATCATTTTAGGGAAGCAGGTAGAATAAAAAAAATGAGCCAAAACTGTTAGATTTATAGCATTAAAATTTAGTGTTTGCTAAGGACACTACAGTCTGCTCTGTCTCCGTCTTTCTCTCCCTCTCAATATCTAAATTAATCATTATTTTGCTTTTGTCATTCCTTGATGAGTTTATTTTTAATTTCTCTATGCATATAGTTCTAAATAACATATTGTTTAGTATCATGTTTATTAAAACTGGAATAATTTTTCAGCACTAGCTTTTGCACTGAATGTAATTCTCATGTTTTAAGTTCATCTATATTTTTTAAGATTTTATTCATTTCAGTAGTGCCTAGTATTTTATTTTACAAATGTATTAAAATGCAGGGTGCTGTTTGATTCTTATCCCAGATGTGACATGTGTGGCAGATTTTTCTCTTCCAGTTTAAATTTTGCTCTCCTTTTTCCAATAATATTATTAATGATTAGAATTCATAATTTTAATTTAGTCGACACTACCCATTTTTATATTTAGCACATTGTAGCTCATTTAAAAATGTGTTCCTTCTAAAGGTTCTAGGGATATTCTTTGTAGTATTTCAATTTTTCTTTTACATATAAGTCTTCAACCCTTCAAGAATGTTTTCTGCAGAACCTATTTTATTAAGTGAACATAAATTAAAACTTTGTTTTCCTATGTTAATTTTTTACCATTCTACATCTTTTTTGACTTAAAGTATTTTAAAATCATATTAATACAATTATGCCAGACTTCTTTTCATTAATATTTGCCTTATATATTTTCTTTATATCATTAAATTCAAATACTCTGTGCTTTGGTGTTTTGGTTGCCTCTCTTATAGAAACATGTAGATGGATTTTTTTAAAGAAAATCTGACCCTAATTTAAGAATTGGAGTTTATTAGTAGAATAGAATGCCTAGTGCTTGTAAAGTGCTGGTTCAATCCCCTGCACAAGGAAGGAAGACAGAAGGAGGAAGCCAAAGAAGGAAAGAAAAAATTAGGAAAGAGTAAGGGACATGGAATAGTTACATTTTATAACTTTCATCTAGAATTGTTTTTATTCCAATTTGATAGAGATAATAGTATAGTAAATAGGGTGCTATCTTATGAAAATTACAGATTGGATTCTGCCATACAATTGATTATTATAAAGATAAATCAAGAGCTATAAAAGAAGTTCTTTTCTCTGTACCCTGGGGCTTTTAGAACTCATATGGACACAGTCGTAAAAATACACAATCTCTTATATTGTCTAAATTCTTATGAATAAAATCTCCAAAGCCAAACAAATATGGCTTTATCAAATTTTGTAACACATTTAATGGTGTTATATTGAGGACTTATCTTAGCAAAGTGAATATCTAATTACTAAACCATTTGCCATTTTAGTAACAGAAATGTCCAGTTGTAACTAGAGAGAATATTGAGAGATACACCACACCCCTTTCCAGCTCCAAATGCACCATGGAAATATTTATCCTACTAGGAAGTTTAGTGAAGCAACAATTATAGTTTTGAAGCTTTAGATCCATGGAAAACAGTAGAAGATTACCAAAAAGGACACAAAGACTCCATGCTTGTTGGTTCTAACAGTCTTTTGGCCTTGGTTGTACTAACTGCATGAGTGGATATCACTAGCTTTTGACTAATTTAAAATGGAGGCAGCTGGGTTGACACAATGGATTCCAATGTCCTACCTTCCAGCAGGGTCACCGAACTACCTGCATGTAGAAAGTGGGGAGATAAGAGAAGCAACCCCAACAGGCAAGCACATTTTAACCTCTCCTTGAATAGCGTGTGCCAACATGCTATATGCTTAAGTAAGTCCCATAATTGGGCTTAGAATCGGATATGCCAGGCATCAGAATGCCACAGGGCAGAGAATGAAATTAGAGGTAAGGGTGAAGTATTGAGACCATTGATCCAATCAATCTACCACAGAAAACAAGTCGCAGTGAGAGAAGTGAACACAAAAATAACCTGAAAGCCTTAATATAGATGCTGACAGGGAACCTCTGTCCCCAGGGAAAGTGAGTTTGCGTTGAAGCAGCCCCCTAAGAAGGGCAGGCTTGCCCTTTAGCCTGGGCCCCTCACCAGTCTTTGCTTGCTTTTTGAGGAGCTAGAGCTCCTAATTGCTAGAATCAATTTTAACAAGGAGAAAGAAGCAACCCAGAAGAGTACAGTCCTTTGTCTCACATTACATTTATGGCAGGAAGCAACCTGATAAAGTGACATTACCCATAAAGGAATGTTACATTTCTTCTAAGGGATAGAAAGTAATTGGGGAATAAAACAGGTCCCTTGTAACTGCTGTTAGAGAAGGGTTGATCCTTGATTTGCATAAACTATGGCTATCTCCTCTGAATTTTATGAAATTTCACATTAGTGTGTACAGAAACCCAGATAGGGAACCATGGAACAGCTACATTTTGAAGACACACTAACAAAATACTGAAGAGCTATTTTCAAGATCATGAAACAAATTGATGATTTTCATTTTTGTATTTTGATATATTTCTTTTATTGTGTGTGTGTAATAGTCACCCCGCAACAGATATACAATTCTAGGTATCTTAGGTAACAGTGTTATATTGATATATATTTTTGCATTCACTGTTAAAAAACAGGGCAATAAATCTGAGGTGATTCAGACCTAATCCGTGTTGCCATGGCAGAATGAAAAGCTAGAATTTTTGCACATATTTTAAGCTGCCTCCTTCCTTAATACATTGTGTGGTGCTCATAGCAGTTCCCCCGTGGAAGACAGGCTTTCGGTGTGCATGTCGGCTTGGGGGAAATCATGCTCCTATGTATTACCCGCTGCCTCCGTTAATCCTGTTAGAGTTTAATTTCCCTTGATTGAATGTGGTGTTATCACCGAGTGCTGAGTGGCCCTTTCCTATCCATACATATAAATCCTGTTAGTCCTTCCCAGACTCCAGATGTTCCAGAGTATTTGGAGGTCACATTGTTCTGAAGGAATATTTACTCTCAGGTTTACTGGACAAAGAGTGAAAGCGAAACTTTGGCACACAGATAATCTTGCTTACCTCTGGCTGAGTTGAAAACTCGGGCATCTGGATCAGTGGCCCCAGAGACTCAGCAGCTTTCTGTATTTTCTGCATTAACTAGTAAGTTCAGACTTTTTTCTTTTCAAAGAGCCTTATGTTAAAATATAAAATGTGCTTCCTTAGGGAGCAAGGTGCTTACCCACGCAAATCATCGCCGTGTACCATTCTTTCAGTTTTACTAAACAAAGCATGTCCTTTTCATCCATGTGATCTGCATTCACCATTTGTCCCAGGAAACTCTTTGCAGCTATTATGAGGATTTGTAATGAAGTCCGTTCTCCAAGATGCCAAATTCATCGAGATCCTTTGTGCTCTAGGCTTCCTTTTTCTGCTCCTCATCTGTTGGCCATTTCCTGCTAATTATTTTCCTTCTCTAAATACAGGAAAGCCAATTCTATTCAGTCTCTTTTGCTACTTGTTAGCTCCTGTAATTAAGTTTTTGCAACTTTCAGAAGACACTATGGTGTAAATTGACAATTTGTGTCATCTATAGATTTCAGACATTAATTAAAATATATCCACCTTAGTACTAACAATCAAGAGGTAAGTTCATGTCGGCTACTTTTTAAAGCTTTAGTGTAACTATTTCACTAACATCAATTTGGTCACCAGAGGTAGATCAAACAGTCTGCAGCATGCTGTGATTAAAAGATAACATTTTTTCAAAGTGATGTTTATTGTCAGAATTGATTTCAAGGATATCAAATATGAAAGCATTCAGATCAGTTTTATTAAAAATCCAGGTGGAAATGCAGATATCAGCCTTTTTCAAAAAGGAAAAACCGGCTTTATGGAGTCATTATTTCTGTGTTTGATATTAGAATATTTTTCTACTGTTATCAGGGGTTTTGAAATTTTGAAAGGAGCTGGAGTTTTGGATTTTAATGAGCTATATCCTAATTTATAAATATTGACAAACATTTTAATTTTGAAGTTGTAGACCAGATTTTGCTTTCTCTTACCTTCTTTTATAAAGAAGAGTCAAATGGTTACTGGCAGTTGGGGGGCACTGCTCGTAGATGACTGCAGGACGGATTTGCAACTCTTCAGTGGATAATATCCTCGCTACCACTGTCCACATATTGTACTACAGATGCATGTTGTTATTTGGCCAGCAAGCCAATATTTAACACCTGGCTTAAATAAGATATGTTAGGTCAATGTGGAGGATAGTAAAAAGAGTATATAAAAACCAGAGTGAGCTGCTGAAAGACGGGCATGAGGGCTGTGGAAAAGTGTAATATCTCACCCCAAATATATTTCTTTGGCTATTCAGAGAAATTGCAGAGCTCTGCAGATACAAGAATGACTCTGGAAGACTGCCTTTTTCTAAAAGATATTTACATGAGTAAAGGAAATTTACATCAGTGCAATCAACAGATGGTGGATGTAAGTAGTCTTTTCTATTTCATATCCTTCTTTCTGCCTAGGAAAGATCTTTTAACAGTGACAAGATATTAGGAGTCTGACACTTGGCCCCTATAAAGATGACCACAGACTTTGTCTGCTAACAAAAACTCCTAATCACTGTGCAGTCTGCCCCAATGGTCCCCAGCCCACCACTCCTGCCTTCACTCTAGGAGCCCAAGCTCTCCTTCTTTGTTTAGCTGTTCTATAAGTTTCAGTCTTCTTGCTTTTCATTTGAGTCTCATACTCTGTATGTGGCTCTTATGTTTCTTCATGTCAGTAAATTTGTCATTGATCCTGTTAATCTGTTAGTTACCTTAGATACAAAAGTTGTTGAGTCTTCAAAGAGAAAGAAGTTTTAACAGTTCTCACAAAACCATGTTAAGCTCATATTGGGAAGAAAATACATTTTTCCTCAGTGCTCACAAATTCATAGTTGGGATGGACACACTGGAACAGAGGGCAGATTAACAAGAGAAACATAAACAGAAGTTTTACAACATACACATTTCACATGTCCATGGGAGATACCCAGTGGATGAGTAGTTCTTAGAGAGATACCCTTGGATACTGGCTTATGTAGCCTCTTCAACAAAGACCAGTAAATGCTTAGAGAATGACAGAAAAATGAAAATAAGGTTTTGGGTCACTAGGGATGGCAGCTTATGGGAATGGCTAATACATGGCAGATACAGGTCATGATAGTAAAGACAGTAAAGTTTGTGTATGTAGATTTTTTTTTTTTTTTTTGCCATCCCCTGGCCTACAGAGTCAATAGCCATCTCTGGCTTGTCTAGCTCGATTTTCTCTGGAGGAAAGTGGATGTGGAGTATCTTTCTTCTCTAGATACTTATGTCCTGATCTGAGGTAAATAGAAGGAGGACAGAAAGTATTCCTGCATCTACTTTTTCTTATAGTACTTTCATTTAGTTTAATAATCTTCATGCCCAAAAGTCATATTTTGGGGTACCTTATTTAGGCCCCCCACATGAAATACAGGGTAAGAAAGTTGAAAAACAATAATGGAGACAGTGGCAAAACAGAGTCAAAGATGTGCAGTGTGAGCCCTGGGAGAGGAAGATACTCAAATATCAATGGTTTTCTATATTTTTTGATTATTTTCTGCTAAAGCTAGCATGTATTTTCTGTACTAAGGTTTTATTTATTTCCCCACATTCACTAATAAATTTCCTCCTTTTACACTACAGAAGATATGTAAAGACATGGAGAAAAATACATATGGTAAATGTTAACCAAATGATGTCTGGACTGATTATATTAAAATGAGTTCAAAGGACTGCACGACAAAAAAAAAATTGAGATTACAGTTGGAGAGATTCTTTGTACAGTGATTTAAAGTCTTAACTAGGAAAATATGTAATCCTAAATACAAAACCCTGAATTGAAATGTTGACTGAATGTGAAATCTGCTTTTGCTTCAAATGGCAGTGGGTGACATATTCCTTTAGCTCAGGAGCAAAAAGATGGAGACCAAGGACTCACATAGGCTGATATTAGTTTCCCTGATTAGTTATAAACACGTATTATAGTGTGACACATTGCAGTTTTGTACATTTCTGCTCTTTGTGATTTATGGATTATATTGTCAGAAAAAGTCAAAACCTTATTATACTCATAAAACTTTGTAATAAACAAGGTGTAACCTGGTAGCTAATAAAAGAGATTCAAAATGTATAAGGCACAATATTGCAGAAATCAAGGGGAAAATAGATTCATGCACTCTGAGAAGGAGATTTTAATGCATTTGTCTCTGTATGATAAAAAACAGACAACAATAGTCAGACTTAGCAAAAGTATGTGATATAATTAATCTCACTAAATTGACATTTGTACTGCAGTCAACACTATGCTAATATTATTTGAAGTACATGCACGCAAAAATGGATTGTATGCTTGTTGCAGCTAAACAAAGCATTGAAATAATTCATAGTATGTTCTCTGGGAAGAATAAAATACAGCTGGAAAACAATAAGAACAATGAGATAAGTATTTTAATATATGTAGATATTAAGTAATATACTTCTAAATTACCCATGCCTAAATGAAACACAGAAAGTAGTTTGAAATAAAAGCTATGGACATAGCTCAATCTACCACTAAAGGAAAGTTTATAGCCATACATAGAAAAGTAAAATGAGAATTGTCTGAATATACATCTCAAATAATATAAAAGAATAATTAAGTCTGGAATAGAAAAGGATATAATTAGGATTGAGGAAGAAATTATTGAAATAGTAAGTATAAGATAGAGGAGATCACAAAGCTTAATGTTACTTTTTTTAGAAAAACTAAGTAATGTAATAAAACTCTCACAAAAGAGGTTAAGAAATAGAGCAACATATAAAGTACCAACATATAGAATGAGAACTGGTACATGGTTATAAATAAAAAGGAGAATATTATGAAATGCTTTCCATTGAAAAGAAAAGGTTAACTATAGGGGAGAAACTTCAGAGAAAATAAATCTTACCAAATCTGATTAAAAAATAGCAAACGCAATGATTGTGACAATTATAAAAATACATAATATGAAATAAACTTTCCAAAACAAAAATTCAAAGTTACTTCCTCTGTAAGTTGTGCCAAATATGAAAGGAAGACATAAGACCAACCTTACACTAATTATTGCAGGTAGTAAAGAGGGAAGCTGTCAATTGAATTTTTTTCTTAAGGATTCTGTATAACCTTGAAATAACCTTAAATCTAATACAAGAGTATTGAGGAAATTCTAGGCCAATTTCTTTCATGAACATTGATGCAAACATAAACAAAATAACAATGAAAACCCACTAGTATATAACTAGAGTGGTACATCCTAACAAAGTAAGGGCTGTTCCAGGGCTGCATTGGAGGTACACTTTCAAGCTGAATCAATATACTTCACCCCAAGGAAAGACCAAAAGGGAAAGTATCTCAAGATGCTGAACAAGCATTTGACAAAGTTCAATATTCAGAAAATAAAACTCCTCATTGACTAGGAAAAAAAAAAAGAATATTGTAATCTAATAGTGTCTAGTCAAGCTTTCCCTGTGATATTAAGAAAGATACATGTGATCATAACTTCTGATCATCATGGTACTGGAGGCCTGGCCAGTGCAGTATAAGAGTCTTTTTGTTTGTTTTTTCAAGATGACAATCATAAATAAAAAATAAAACTATTATCTGCAGAATAAATGGATGTATACATGGAAAACCGATGTACTCTACTGATAAACTGTGTCAATAAGAATCTATAGCAAAGTCACTAAATGCTACGTTAATTTAGGAAATAGGACTGTTTCATTTTATGTTCAACTAAGAAACAATAGCAAACTGATTTCTAATTAATACTTTCACATACACATTGTAGATCCTGAATAATTTCTATTAGACTTGTTTTTTCTTCTTGATGGAGATTATAAGAGTGCTGCTTTAAATACTATTCACACTCTTGGTATGTTTATGATTTTATTCCTTTAAGTTTTAAGTTGTAGTTGTTATTATTCAAAAGTAGAGTTTTTTTCCCAATCCTTTATAAATACTGCCAGTAAGCTGTTTTTTTTTTTTTTTTAAGAAGGATTTTCTTGGTAATAACTGGGCACCTGTAGTTCCAGCAACCAAATTGACAGAGGTTGGAAGATCAGTTGAGCCCAGGACCTTATGAGTAGCCTGGGCAGTGGAGCAAGAATGATCTCTGACCCGGTCCATGGGTAAATCTATGGAC